TTTCATCTCACCTTCAATCATCACCTAATGTATAAATTTATGTTTTGAAAATGTTCCATATTGGTAAGTAAATATTCCTTTCTTCATTTCTTTATACTTGGTGATGATTGAAGGTGAAATGAAAATCTGGACCGCTGCCAAATTCAAACCAGTGACCACCAGGTTTCCGGCTCGATGCTGTACCAACTAAACTACGAGGTACAACTACTGACCAGATTTTTATTTCACTTCGATCACAAGACGGGGTTTCAGTCGACTACCATGTGAATTGGCGACGAGTTAGTACCGCTTAATCATATTCACACTGGCTGCCTAGTCAGAACTTCTCATCCTAATCCTCATATCGTTTGTTATTTATTGTATCGCTTATTGGTAATTGATGTTTATGTGCTCAGTAGCTTACTTTCCTCCGTTGTTGTCAGGACATTACTGATGGTGGAGAATATTTGTATGTCAAGTGGATGGACTTGTTTTGTGTTCTTTGAGCTGGGTTGTTCAATCGTGGAGCTTTCAACGTCTCTCTAGGTGACATCATCAGCACTCACTTCAGTATGAATTGAGCTGTCATCAACTCCCTGTGAGTGATTCAGTAGCCTGCCCTGAGGTGGTTTCTGATTGGCTGCAAAAATTTCTCGTTGACTATTACTGTGCTTAACCTTGCCTGGTTAACTAGTTCACTAGTTACTAGTCGGTCGTAAGCCCTGATAAACAGGGAAGGTTTGGCATAGGGCTAGCAACCCTACCCCGTAAAACAAATACAACCGGTAAACAAACTTCAAAGCAAAAACACAATATAAAAATAAAAACAAACTTATTCCTCACTGGAATCCGAGGGACGAAATGAAGCCGGTTGGTGAAAGCCTTCAGGAAGCCAATTGGCCTATGTGTCTTCTCTTCTCTCGATGAAATCGAAAGTAAACATGGGGACATGGAATGTCCACACTATGTTTGAACCTAGGAAGGTTTCCCAGATTGCAAACGAGATGAGAAAGTATCACATTGAAGTGCTAGGAATTTGTGAAGGCAGATAGAATGAAAGTGGACTCTGCAAACTGTCAACTGGAGAGTCAATAATCTACTCCGACACTTTCACCCAGACGACAACCATGAGCACACTGAGTTTTGGAGTGGCTATCATGATGTCCCCAAGAGCATCGAAGGCTCTCATACGCTGGGAAACAATCTCCTTCAGGATTATGACAGCAAGATTCAACTCAAAAGGGAGGAAAATCACAATCGTACAATGCTACGCACCTACAGGTCAGTGAGTCTACTGGTCGTAGAGGGATTTCTAGTTGGCATAGTTTTGGTCTGACGTAAAACCAAGGAAAGATAGATCTATTCAACTTGACTAGCTATTGGTCTTGCTTTGTTATTTCTTTCGTTTTGAAGAGTTTGTTCAAGGTTTTTGTTCATTTGATTGTCAAACCTTTTGATAAGGTTGGTTTTAATTAGTTGATACACATTCTCGTCTTTGAGTAAATTCTCTACCTTCTTGATATAGTCTCCCTCGTCCAAGATTCCAACGGTGTGTCCTTTATCTGCTAGGAGTATAATGACATCTTTCCCACTTTTCAGTCTTCTCAATGTTTTCTGTTCCCGAGTGTTCGTTTGAGCGTGATATATTTTCTGTCTGGTCAACGGTACGATTGTTGCCCGTATTTCTTGCTGAGTGTCCTCATTTGCTGTTGTCTCACTGGTCGAAGTTATCACTTTGCAATCAGCTATACTGAACTTTGTTAGTCTGACCACCTATTAACTTTGCATTACACATTGTTTGTTGTTGAATCAACCTGAATCTAAGTGTACCAATTCGTGAGCTAATTTTTATTAAACATAGAGCCACCGTTATTGCAAAGTAACCAATCTTTTGATGTTATGTAACTTTCGGGTGCGTTTGTTCATGAGAATCTTATGAATATCATATCACTAAAAATTACTCTTGCTTGTAAACAAATATGCTTTGATGCGAAGTATTTCCATAGGTTTTTAGGAATCGAACTTACCGGAAGTTTATAAACACAGAGGTCAACCACTAATTATTCTTACCTGTAATATACTCATGAATGCGAGACTTAGAAAGAACACAGTACAGTAGCCAGGTAGAATAGTATACTTGATAGCCTATGGCAAAATACCGATACTTTTTGAGAGGCTGCCTCGAGGATCACGTACGAACAACGCAAATTAACACAACAACGTGCCAAATAGCTCAAATGCGTAAAAGTGTGCCTTCAGTTTAGCAAGTCCGTTAAAACTATGAAGGTCAGCATCGATGTTGAATCTCGTCATACCCTAACCTACTGATATGTGGGAATTATTTGCTACTACAAATTACTCCCCGCCCCTCGCCAATGGGCTCGTGAGGAACGTGAGATGATACTAACGGGAAACCCATTGGTTTCCCACTAGTAAAAGTTTCCTTACAGGATCACTGGGAACAGTGACATCTGGTTATCTGAATTTGTTGTCAAGTGTCAAAGAAGCAGACATCTTTGGCACCCTCGAACCTAATATAGTCTCTTCCCCTACATTTCTGTAAATGGGGGACATTGAGAACTGATACTTTCTTCACTGAACCAACAAACAGAAGACGTATTCCAAATGACAAGACAGTTCTTGTACCTGTGTTTAAAACTCTATTAACTCTACAACAGGGAATTAGTGAGAGAGATTTGAAACTAAGTAAACTATGTATCAAAAAAGCGAATTAGTATCATATAGACCATATGAGCTAAAACTTACACTTCACTGTAATCAGTAACTTAATTAAGTGGACCGTATGATGAAAACAATAAAATAGAATCAAGCTCTAACAGCGTTCAACTGACATTCTACTATTCAGTTGTGAAACCCACCGATAATCAAGAAGATGCTGAGAACAATAAGTGAAAAGTGAGAAACTGTTAAGTTAGTTTAATGATGGAAAATCACAGCGATAGTTACCATAAGACATCCATGTCAAAGTGGTTAGACCAACACTTCTATGTAAAAGTGATCTGTCGATTCATAGAAAGTCAACCAGTCAGTGTCAATATATCACATCGATATCATCACTTAGTAACAGTACAATATAAAATACATTGCAGTTCAATATGAATTTAGTTAAAATTAAAATTCATGTTGTAAATCCCATCAGAGTTAAGAATATACTCTCTTGATGCTTGCCGACAAACACAAAGCCATCATCAACAACTTTCTATTTACTATCTTTAATCAATCAAACTCTATTGAACTCAAACTTTGATTTTCATATAACAAGAAACTTAATGCAAAAGTAGAATAAGATAGAATAATTCAGTTTGTCAACTTCCATCCAACGTTTATAAGGTGAACTATGTGAGTCAAAGTAGTCGATTATAGTTAATTAGAATAACACAGCATGAAATTTTGATCACCCTAACAAAGTAAGAAATCTCGAGAGAAGTTTAGTCATTAAGATGCATACAATAATACATTTTCATACAAAAGCGTGGGACAAATGACAGTCTTAAAAGTTAACGCATCAGTATGGAAGGAGAGATTGATGAGGGAAGCTTTGTTTATCTAACCAACTTTTAATATATAGAATAAGAATAACTCAAAATATATTCAGAAAAATTCTACTGTCTATACGGTAAGTGTAGAAGTAGAAACGGAACTATACAACTACGGTATGAAAGTGGTATAGTTACACTGTGTTCTAAACCATATCCAGTGAATACTACACTTCCATAATCATAACAACAAGTTAAATGACAGCACTCATTTGGTACTGAGGACTGCGTAACATGATATTGATTACGCTTACATTGACAAGTTTCTGTTAAATAAATAAGGTTCTACATCATGGAATACATAATTACACATCAAAAATAAACACATGAAATAAAAAGGAGTAGAAATTTAAAAACTATTGAAGTAAGTAAAACATTCTGGAAAATTGTGAATAAGACAACTTCGTTACTACACTTCGTTACACAAATTATTAAAAGAGCTGTTGACATGATCATCAAATAAAGAAGACACAAAACATATACAAACATGAATATAGAACACTTTGAGTGGGAATTTGAGAATGTTTGGGATGCGATTTTACCACCCAAATGCAAATTTCTGCTCCAGGACTGGTCTTCAGCGGTACCACGGTTAACAATAGAGAGTGAAATGGTTGAGTGTGTTGACCACTTCACTTACCTGGGAAGTAGGATCAACCCCGGTGGGTTAGTTGCCGATGAGATTTCTGCACGGATACAAAAGGCTCGATTGGCTTTTGCCAATTTGCGCCACCTATGGCGCCGCCGTGATATTCGTTTGTCTACTAAGGGTCGCGTGTACTGCACAGCAGTCCGCTCTGTTCTACTATACGGCTGTGAAACATGGCCATTGAAAGTGGAAAATACAAAAAGGCTTCAGTGTTTGACCACCGTTGCCTTCGTAATATAGGACGTACTCCGTGGTGTCACCACGTGAGTAATGCAGAAGTTAGGTGTAGAGTTTTGGGGAGAAGAGGTAAGTCAGTTGACGAGGTTGGGAACCTTCATCGACTGAGATGGTTGGAACACGTATTACGTATGCCTAGTCACCGATTGTCTCGTCACACAATGTTGGCTGAGGTGGGTCCAGGGTGGAAAAAGGCCCGAGGTGGCCAGACTAAAACATGGCACCAATGTATGAAGTCTCTGACTGTTGGTTTAAGCCATGTAGGACGATGCAGACTAGGTGGTTGGGGTCCACGGGACAAGAGGAACCAGTGGTTGGAGACCCTAGGTGATATGGCTCAGAACCGAAGTCAGTGGCGCAGATGTATACACACATTATCCCCATCTTAACAACGCTATACCGAATCTCACCATTTTGTCACTCCTCTTTCCTTTCTTCTCATACTTTATATTTCTTATGACTGCATTCACTTATCTTCATCCTTCACCTCACTACCTTTTTACTTGATGTGCTGATATGAGGTGTGGCAACTCGGACCGTTACGCAGTAATGCCTGGTCCTATGTTGATAATGATGATTTTATAACCAATATGACAGGATCCACTCACTCGAAGAGTGTCATTTTCTCTGTTGAAAACAGTGAGCTGATCTAAGGAACATACAGAAAGATTTTATCCAACTCTAGCTTTCAATCCAAACACAGATACAGAACAAACTATGAGCAGGAACTAAAAGTCAACATTGCGAACACCTTCTCCACAAGTTCACTGTGCATCACCACCACATCTCTTACTTGTCACACATACTCAACAAAGTCACAACTAAGCCATCCACTCTAACTAGCTTGACAAACTTGATACACATGGATATGATCTCTCCCATTATTACTAATTTATTCCTGCACTAACTATTTTGTCTCTTCACTCAACTAACAACCTATTATTCCATTGCTGACTAACAAACTCTTCAGCAGCCAAGTAAAGAGTGGAAGATGACGGTTGGAAAACAACCAGTGGTCACATCATGACTTTCGAAGTGGCAACACACAATTAAAATGTCGACACCCACCACCACTACTACTACCACTAACTTTCGATTGCTAGCATCAAGATTACCAAACTCGAAACCTCAAAGCTCTACAATTTTTGAATTCCAAATTGGAAGTTCGAGTATCTACTAGCACATAGGTGCAATGAGTTGTGCATATTAAAACTCACCACTTTCTTTTTCATCACGGAATCTTCATCTGACTGAACATCTTCACAAATCTCATCCACAAACTGTTCTCTTGCTCGCAGAATTAGACCCTCATCACTTTGTAAAACATATGCATCTTCAACATCATTTTCCAAGTATTCACCTGGTCTTAAGAAGAACGACTTCTCACCACGTACAAGCAACTTTCTACCTAGCTGATGTACCCCATTTGCATCCCAGGGGTTCACTATAACACAATACTGATGGGCATGCAGTACAGTCACTTCAACTTCCCTCACAAACTCTTCAAGTGCACCACAAATATGATATTCTGCATCTTCATGAGTGATTAACCATTCTTCACCAGCCTTACGATATTTTGTAAACTTGTCAACATGCGATTTGATAGCCTTGACGCATATAGCTCGCTGAAAATGAATCAAAAAATCAAGTGGATACAGGGCGTAATTACGAAATTGACAATTCATTTTAAGAAAACTATCACTCATCACAAAGGAGCATGGGATATTAACCAACTTTACTTCTCCTATATTACATTCGTTTATTTCACTTAACACATGGTGATACAGTACTACTTACTTAACGACGTTTCGTGCATAAATTATTGCTCATTGTCTTATCGTTGGTACGATTATACGATATATATATATGTCGTCACTGTATCAGTGTTATAAATCAAATAAACAAGTCTAATATAGAAGTAAATTCTACCACAGTGCTCAAGTTTTACACTTATATTAACGACTTTATTTCTGCTTCACCTTATGAACCACAACTCATCGGAACTCAAACAACTATCAGTCGACTGAATTACATACGACCATAGCAAATGGATCACATAGCAGGAAAATATGACTATCTTTAAGGTAATCAGGTGAGGATATCCAAACAACATATAGGATAAAGTGAAACCGAACACTTGCATATTACACGCCTTCGTACACTCATTGACTCCTTAATAGTCTACTTTCAGTAAAGACACTTCAATCTACATCTATGTACCTAACACATACTAAACCAATGGAGTTTGTTCAATTCAAGATAATCACCTTCACACAAAATAACTTTCGACTCTAAAAGCAAAAAAACATAGCAGACACAAAGTCATACTATTACCACAGTCATCGAACATGGTTACATAATTTTGATAGCAGAAAGCTCCTACAATTTAGAACTCAAATACATATTTGGGTGTAATATCAACCTTTTAGAGGCGGATGCTCATAGGGTCATTCGGATAATGAAAAAGAAAATTAATAACAACTACTTTCCTATACACTTCAGTGTAAATGCCTATTCGGTGTCAGCCTTTACATGTTACTTCATATTCAAACCCATATGTCGACTTGACTTAAAAACAATTATGCTATCATTCTACACTTCTTCACAGCACCAACTGCTTCGCCAAATCATATGAAATTCAGGTCAAAAGATGTTATCCCCTTAAATCTAGAAAACATGTCTCAAACTGACATTCCGAAACGCAGAACTTCGGAGTTATTTTCAGTTGCTCAGTAACATAGATAACAGTAACAGATAACAGAGAAATGCACAGATACGTAACGTTTTCTCGCATTTACCCTTTCCGTTAACGTAATAGCTTTGCGCTCTTCAACAATCTCTTCATAGACACCAGGCAGATATGCACCTGGAGTCACAACCAGCCAACGCTCGCCAAAAACACGAGAAACACCACTACGGTCAACACAGTCTTTTGTCGCTTCAATCACAAGAGCAGAATTAACAAGGATTACTCTCGCCTTTTCACATTTCACGATGTCTACTTCCTTTCTAGGATAATAAGTACCTGCAAACAGAAATACACATACTTGTCATTCAACTCAGATCAACGTTGTCCTGAACTAAGTTTATTTCAAAGTGTAAAACTGTTCATTCACTGTTTTACCTCTGTTTAAATTACAAAAATATATAGTAGAGAAAATCCCAGTCTTCACGCAAGACAAAGGTAAGCACATTCAACATTCTCATAATCTAGCTTCTTCTACGAATGTGAACCTTCATCCCCTTCAAATTACTTCTCATTGTTGCTCACAGTGATCAAACACAAACTTCTGTCTTCCATAACAACAAACTTGGCTGTAGACTCTGTGCTTTGTGACTTAAAGTTTAATTCCTTCTTACTACAAACATCAAATCATAAAAACTGTTTCGCATCAGGCTCACTCGACTACGAACTGAAGAGTTACCAACATACTCTAAACATACCCACTGACAACATAAAAGTAATTCTTCTCGTCCCATGAAAAATAGAACTCATTTACATGCAAACATGTCTGTAGTTCTTGACAGTTTTCAACCACACATATTTGTCACATTCTACTAATTACCGTTGTAATCTAAAATGATTTCCACTAACCTAAGTCTATGAGAAATTTAACGCTTTACCATCCACTCAGTAAATTCTTAATGAAGCTGTAAACGTCGATCCAGACAATCGACTGCCAGTCAGCGGATCATGAGTACAAACTGTGCTCCACTTATCAAATGTTTCTCAACCATGTAGTTTCACTAACCCTGACACAACAGGAGTCACTAACAAACAAAGTCTGAAAAGTTACATATTTCTTAAACAGTATAATCAGGTCGTTATTGTGCTTAATTTCATGAATTCACTACGTGATTCCTGCGAAAAAGAATAAACGTCAAGTAATGTAATAAACACTGCAACATATCGCATCCCTTAATTACAAAACATCCATTGATGACAGCACTATGGCTTGTATAGTCATCCAGTTAAGAACTGTATATTTTTCTGTTCAAACGATAACGCTCAAAACTTTCAAACTGCTTGAATCACTGTCGAATAAGAGTTTTCTAGATCCCATTTTTTCACGTTACGCAAATCACTGGTAAATTCAACAGAAAACAAAGTTTCTGAGCAGACTCCATATCATTGACCTACAAATAGATAGAACTCTCACATGACAAGTGCTTCTTTTCGGATGCATTCAACATTCATCTGTAATGACTAGGACAAAAAAACTGGGATTACTAGATAGTTGATAGCATAATCTCCAATAAGCCGAAATAGCCTAGGATAACATATTTTACAATTGACTCCACTACCGTACCTGCAACCAAAACGTATTCGTAAACATACAATCATATCCTTAAAGAGCGAACAAAGGTTATTAAGAGCTGCAAAATCATACTGGTGTGAACCACTCACTATCACAATTATCAAGTTAAAATGCTACAAAACTCAAAGCAATACCAAACAAACAAATTACCATAATTAACATTCAGACAATATCGAGGCATCCACATAGCACCCCATATACCAATAGAGGTCTTACAATTCGACCCAATAGAACAACGGAGAATTACAAGTATATCAACAAATAGTAATCATACAAAATACATTGAAAATAACTGCATATCTTCAGCCCACTCTTCTACTACGATGATTTCTGATTGAATTTCTAATATCCATCGAAACACCACATACAACTTATAAGTAAAACAAGTACTCTGATAATAGAAATACATTCAAAGTTACAATCGATCAGCAGGCAGCTAGTAATTGAAAACAACCTGAAAATGTACAGGACCACTAGAATAAGCGTCATCATACTGTTACATCTTAAACGGACTACCATACATTTTATCGCACAACGAACCTCTCGGTATGTGAACATCATATCAACGCAGAAATTACATTACAAATCCGTATACAGAGAGTAAGTGAGATTGTTCAAAATACCAAACTTCAGAAAAACGATTTCAACAGTCTGCACATGGTGGGAACAGACGACCAAGCTGTCAAGGTATATGAAATTTGTACAAAAAAAGAAATAAACTATCGCTTACCTGGGCCTTCAAACAGCCATTCCTCTCCAGCTATGCGTTTAATACTCCCATCTTCGAAATCCGAAACGGCTCTCAGCCTGAGTGCTGAGTTCGGAAGTACAATAGGGAGTGGTTTTATAGTATCTTTAAGTGCTTCACCCGGATATAAAGGAAACGGATCTTGAGAGAAGCGGTACTCTTCATCACCCATCTTAACCTTAACTTGTCCAAATTCGTCAACAACTGGAACGCCATCCTCATTCTTTACCACAGGATTAAGAATAATGCAGTACATCATCGCCGGAACGACAGTCAGCTCTTGTGGCCCCAAAACAACCCTACCAAGCAGTAATCATTCACTGAACAAACATACTTTTCATCTCTCTGGCAAACGTAGGTTTTCGGTCCAGCAATCAGGGTGGTGACATGCGTATTTAAGTTCAGCACATGGATGTAGTGTCTCGGACTGATCGATATGACGGGAGACTCCATATTGAGCACTTCTATTCAGTAGACACAGCTGATTAGTTTTCTGAGACTATCTCTATTGCACAAAACAAAAGAAAATGGTGCTCGCTTTTGTAGCACGGAAATTCATATCAAAGACAAGACATAACACAAAGAAGACACACTGAATACATCATATACAATATTTTGTTCACTTTTTCACAAACATCAAGATCAAGTCACACTACAGAATGTGCTACTGCAGAAAGTAACCAATGCTCCCTCAGTAAACTTCAACAAAAGAAACTTGAATTAATGCCCCACTTTGTAAGACCGTCTGCTAATCATTACAATTGAGAACCACAAGCCTCACAGTTTACTATTCGATTAATATTTCACCCAATCACTCCTCAGCTCTCTTTTATTACGACCACATTCTACACCTACTCTCCTCTTCCATATGGTTGTTTGCTCAACTCTTGACACCTTTGGTGACAAGCGCTGTCAATAGACCGCAAATCTTCGAAGTGGCTTAGAAGCTTAGTTACCTAAGTCCTAGTGCAGACATTCATTTTCCCTTCAGCTAAACTCAACGGACATACGGTGAATCTCAAAAATCTCAAAAATGTATCTTCCTGACAGGTTCAGTCTCATCATTCTGCCGACATGACTCGAATACCAGTGCAAAGCAAAACGTAAGGATCATTGAATGAAGCTTTATCGCCTGCATTTCACCTACGTTCACAGTCCAGTGCACAAACATGTACTGCTTAAATCAAATATAATTTCACACTACTGAAAGTCATATCAAGAATTCAAAATGTAGCTGTTTCCTATGTAGTCTCAGCCGATCCAGTGGAAGTACTATAACCAACTTTAAAATGAAAGACTTAAAAAAGTCAACAAGAACAGTAAACAACCTGGTTATCACTACAACTACACTTCAGTAGTTAACAATAAATAAATAAAAACATAACAGGTGACGGAATAATTTAGTCCTATGACAGAAATATCAAGTCGACATGAAGACGATGTTAATTCTATATTACCAAACTGGTTAAAATAGACAATAATAGCCCTAGTAGTATAAAAAGACCTCAAGTTTGCAGCAAGCTGAAGAATCAAAGATCCACACATACTAAAGAAATATGACAAGAAAATCAAAGGCTAAAGGCAGGTCAGATGGAAATCCCTATGAAACATAAGTTTTATGTAGACACATTACGAAATATTGCCATGTAAAGGAGTGGCTGAATCCTACTATTCACACTTCCACAGACTAATCTGTTCGATAAAAGCGACTAGCCAGCAGAATGAATAAGCGCTCCATACTGTCATACTTAATAAGCAGCTGATAAGGAAGATAAAGAAAATGACCCAGTATTATTTTTTATTACTGCTCGCCATCGATCTATTCAAGATCAATGATTGATGGCCAAGTAATGAACGTGCAGATAATTTATGCTATGACACACGTGAGCGTTGATATGTTGTTTTCTCAACTCTTCTAGAAACCCAACTATCCAGTAACTTCCTCTGACTGTAAAGTCTATTTACCCTTTATTGGTAGTTGTAATCAAGAAGAGTCTTACACATTCACAACAAGCGAGCTGGGTAGTTTTATACATAAACATGAACTATATCGAGTTACGCTATTTTATCATTTATAGGACAAAATAAGTGCAAATCCCTTCACGTTAGTTATCTGCATCATCCTATCTGCCCACAAAAAGTGGAAGCAGTGGAAGCAGTGAGCACGAGTTCCCATTATCATACTGTGTGCTAGACTAGTATTTTGTGAATGGAACCAAATTAAGTGGATAGAACTGTCCCAACATACGGAACAATAAGAATCCACACAATGCATAGCTTTCCGGCTGGCCTAAGTGTCTGCAGTACACGTTTGCTATCCCTAGATTCTGCAGTTTTCCTCAAGTTTTTATATTCAGTAAGTTTCCGTCTCTTAAACGCATAATATGACCCAGAAGTGTTTTTATACACATTATACATCCAGAGATACATTCCAATGGTAAATTAATGCTTAAGAATAGTAGTACCAACCATTTACATAGAACTTTCGGCTCTATCCTGAAGTTTCTGAAACTAGCCCGAAGTAAACTTCGGACAATTTCCACATTAACTGACAGGAGACCATAGATTATGCCAGCTGGGATATAACCAAAAGCAGGTTCATCACGATTTGATACCAGTAGCTTACATCTGAGTCGAAATCCAGTCAATAATCTCGTCAGGCCAACTGGAGCAATGTTTGACCACTGACCACTATTTCAATCTGTATCGCAATAAGCACATGCTTATGGTAATTCCAACGTGTCAGCACACGTTGCAGCACGATTGCAGTCATTTACCACTATTCCAAAGCAATCGAATCTACATTTTAGGGTACATGTATCATGTGTCTAAACAGATCTCCAATATCCAATATTGATAGTACGAGCGTAGAAAACTGGTAGTTTTTGATCTCTCGTGTCTAGTTCTTAGGGCTTGGTTCCAGTTGTTCGGTTCACTCCTGCAGTGGACGAGGAAATCCCCTCTGCTTTCTTGCTCTTAGCTTCGGTGAGGTGGATGTTTTGTGGGTTAGTAAGTTGCAATTTGTAGAGTGATTGGGGAGCTATGGGTTGCTGGGACGTTAAGGGGACTGCCGTGACTCCTGTCTGTGTAGGTACCTGGAAGAGAATAGTAGGGTAGTGGTAAAGGAATGAAGAGAGAATAAAGAAAAGAATAAAAAATAAAAAAATGTAGAAAATAAGAATAATATAAGGAAGGGAAAAGGGAAGGAGAAGAAAAGGAGGGGTGAAAAGAGAAATGGGAACGAAAGAAAAGTATTTGGGAATTGCGCGAATGGTCGCATGGTTTGGTTCCTACAGAAGAATTAGAAGGTAATGTGGGTGTATTAAGGACAGAGTGATAGGTAGGAGGGAGTCGGGAGCTAGTGAGGTTGGTGACTACCTGAGTACGTCCGTGGTAGTCCATGAGAAGTGACATAACTGTCTAATCGTCTCTTGAATGAGTCGACTGAGGGAGCTATAACGATGTGTCGCGGTAAGGTATTCCATAAAGCACATTCTCTTAGGGAGAAAAATTTGGACCTGAGTATGGTGTTGGCTCTCTGGTGTGCTTTCTTAATGGGGTTTCCTCGTGAACATCGTTGAGTTGCAGGCAAAATTCATTTGTTTGCGTGGTCTGCCTGATGGGCCATCTTGTATGCCACAATCAGGTCACCCCTTTTCCTGCGACAACCTGAGGTAAATAGGTTTAGGTGTTTCAGGCTTTCAGGATACGTCTCTCCCCTTAGCCCCACAACACATTTTGTTACAGTTCTTTGTATTCCTTCAAGGAGATTAGAGTCTCTTGACTGTTGGAGGAGCCACCGTATTGAAGACATCTAGGTGCGGCCGCACGTAAGATTTGAAAATGGTGATCTGTTTAGACACGCTGATCAATAAGATCCCTATACTACAGTAGTTCGAGAAAATATAACAAAACAGCGAAATTGGAGATAGCAGACAAAATCATTACACTTACACTCACTTCCAAGAGTGCCAGTCACCACACTCGACTCTAACCTACTAAACGCAATACCAAACTTGGCGCGAGTAAGATTAAGGCGATTCGCGGGCATCGCAGTTCATTAGACCGGTGTATTAAAAAAATGCTCAACAGTTGAGTTCCTTCCTCCAGGTAAAAGAGTCTCACATATTCATAATCTCAGATGAAGCATCATTATTTCATCCTGCAATATCGTAACAGCCCTGAAAATGGGGTAGAAGTATGGTGGTTACGACAGAGTTACAACTACAAGGTCATTTAGCAACTTCCTGCTTCGCCCTAATATCCGACGGTTGACCATATTTTTCCGGACTTTTGTGGGTTCGCCCGAATTTCTCAAGGTGTCTTCGCCAAACCCACTTGTGTCAGTCTGTCTGCAATCCACCCGAAGCTTTACAAATAGGGTATTAATACAGGCAGTTAGTGGTGTATGGGAAAATTATTTGCATGCGTGGATGCTTTGTCGTAGTACAGGGAATCTGGAACCATTTAGTTACTTCGTGGAGACTTTAATCCAGTGAAATGCGTCTTACTTTGGAGGAATGCCTCAAGGTTGTAAGCTGCGCTCGGGAATTATGCAAAACTGTCAATGCTAACCTAGTGCTTGTTGGTTAGGTACCAAAAACTGAAACCCCAGGAGTTGTACCCATTTTGCAACTTGCTGAAGAGGGTGATGAGTTCGAACCCCCTCACTCACTCGATGTGGCCCACTGAAAGTAAGGAATGAGTCATTAGCTGCACAGCGGACACAGCTGATAAATCAGTCGTTCCCCAAAGGTCAGGTCATTGGAGGGTATGACAACTGATTTCTTTCGTCCAGTATTTGGTACTTTTTTCATAAACTACTATGTGCCAGTTAGTTTCTGCCGGCCATACTCTGCGTTCTATGCCTTTCGACCTTTCAAGAAGCGGTTGATTTCTTCTTGCTGACCTCGATTTTTTGTAGAGCGGTTCCACGCCCTTGGTGAATTCCGGTGAGGCAAATACCTTCTCGCCGTGACCCTGTTGAACAGGATGGAGGGTTGGGTACTTGTTAAGTTTGTCGGGAGGTGTGTGATGCGTCTTGGGTCTGTGGTGCAGATGGATTCCTCAAGTGACATCTTATCATGAAGCCGTTCGGAGTGGTCATAAAACGAAGAAGGGAGGGAGGAGGGAAATGATAACCAAGAAGAGAAAACGGGGTAAGAGGAGAAAAACAGTGGTGACGGAGGTAAGGTGAGAGGAGAAGAAAACCCTGGGGAAATTTGGAAGTGGCAAAGGGTACGGATGTGTCTGTAACCTTAGGGAGCGGGTTCGCACGTAGAAAGAAGGAGGGTAATGTGCAAGACGGTTGGCAGTTTGGTAACTGGAAATACGGTAGTGATATTGGCAACTGCATGGTAAACTGGGAGGTAAGATGTCTGATAAATGTGGATGGGAGTGAATTGACTCTGTAGTTCTAGAGGCAATGGGAAGAATCGGTGTAGTTTCAAAAAAGGGGTTGAACCGACGCGTTGTTAGCTGGACGCATCCTAACTGGGACAGCGCAGGCCGTGCACCTCTGAGTAGCCATCCACACCTTTGTTAACCCTATGATACGTGGGGCAGTGGCCACTTCAAAAGGTAGTGCGTTCCAGAGGCAATAGACTAAGAGAGTAAGAGAGAATAATGACCAATGGGACTTCACCTTTTGGTGGGTGATTCTCTCTGGCTTTCCGCGAGCATCGCCACGGTCTCTGTTAGATGCGGTTCCATTGCTTTGTGACAAGAATTACTTCATACCTTCTGGGCCGCTATCGAGTCACCGCGTAACCTGTGGTAACTAGAAGGATAGAGCCTTAGGTCTCTCAGATCATCTTAAATAAACTTTTCCATATGTTTAGAACATACTTCATGGCCCCCCTCTGTACCTTCTGTGAGGGGTTCGAACCATTTTTTGGGTGTAGACTAATTGACTCGATAACCTTTAAGCGAAGTCGCAGGCGGACGTTACGGAGCTTCAGGAAAAGTCGCATGGAAGGGGTGTCACACTTCCCACGCACAGAGCGTGCTAATGCATAAGCTGTGGTGGCATCTTCCAAACGACTGGAACTGGCCTACAGTTTGCCAGTCAGGACAGGTACCGAGGCCATTCTCCGCAGCGGTTTAAGAAAGCTCCTTACCGTGGAGCGAGAAAATACTTTCTGAGTCAGAAGTGCAGTAAAGTGTGGCCCAGTACCTGTTTAGGTTAAATGTCTGCCATTATTTTTCGCCGATTCGTCAAGCGCCCTGAAGCTGCCAAGTAGTGTTCTCTATTATTTCTCCGATTTTACTGCACTGCACAGGTTACTACCACCAGCGTAAGGTGGGACCAGGAGGCCGAGACTCAAAGATAGATCATTCGCACAAAGCTGGGATAGCGGCGGACCTGGAGCCACCCCTAATGATGCTATGGGTGATGGTATTCTTCAAGTTGAATGAGTCCCATTCACTTTTGTGCGGAACTCCTTATCGTCCAAACAGCTATCTATCCAAGATAGCACCTGACCACTGATACTCAACCCTTCTATGTTGAACTTGACTGTGGCGTGTGACAGTGAGTCGAAGGTTTTGGAAAGATCACGGAAAACCCCATTAACGGAGACCTGGAGGTTCCAACATGTCATCCATCTATGACGGGCCCTCAGAAGATTCAATGTTCGAGACTCACGCTTCCGGAAGCCATGTGGCGTACCACTTAGTGCCCCTACTTTGTTTACGTACCCCATGATATGGTCATCCATCAGGTAATCCATTACATCTGACAACACTGGTAGAAGCGGCATAGATCAATGGTAATTCAGGTCCTAACTGTATCCTCTTATCATAATCGAAGAGAAAATGATCCGTTTCCATTCACTCGGGGGTTGTTTTATCTATAAAGCGTTGAAAAAGGTTACAGGGCGGACTGCATAGGGTCCTCGCATATTGTTTCAACACAGGCGGATGAATGTGATCGCATCCTGGGGGCTTTCCGGCGTGAGCTTTGAAAGTTTTCAACGACCGTGGCGGAATCAACATGTATTCTATCCATCTGTACTGCACTAAGTAATGTTGAAAGTGGTTCAAGCAGCCAGTAGGTGTTTGGTGGAGTGATTTGATACTCAGTTGTGCATTGAAGGTGCCTTCGAATGTCTTGGTTGTCTCCAGCACGGAGAGGTTCTCTGCACTCGGACCTTTTATAACCCACGTTCCGTGGTTTGAGGACTTGCTATTAGCGATGAATCGATGTAAGTATCCAGGATTTGCCACGATTTTCATCGCAGGGTTTGTCTCCAATGAACTTGTATCCCTCACACCTCTATATTGCACCGATTCTATAGGGCCGCACCGTGACCGGACTGTTTTCCTGACAGCCCTTACTTGTAATCATGAAAATAGTTTACTCCTGCTAGGCCTTCCTCTTGGTCCTTAAGAAGCACCATGAAGTCCACTTTTTAGGTGTTATTGCTACTATGGATACATTTTTAGGGATCGCTTGGCCGATGAAGTCCCCTACTGGCTCCCAGTGCTGCAGTCGATTAAGAATGACAGTTCCGAGGCAATGGAACCGCCGAACGACAGCGGTTCCGATAAGTGAATCGGGCGAACCATTCTCGAAATTGGACTGGTTAAAGAGTTCTTTTGTGTCGACTGCGGTTACAATTAGGCTGACAGGCAATCAATAAGTGTTACAGTTTCTTAAACTCCGGGCCACATGTCTATTTTGGTATGTTTTTCTTTGGATGACTGCTTCGGTCCTCAGCATCAAGTTATGTTCATATTTCGTCTCAGAATGTCTTCTGCGCTGATTGGTTGAGTCAAAAGCTGTGGGTTGCCGTTGGCTAAAAACATCCCGCACAGTTAGCTGCTATAGCTGTGCTGCATGTGCTTTGGTTTCATTTTCGTAGTGTATTACAAGACGCTGAACACCCTTTTTTCCACTTGGGTCAGTTTATCTTTATTATCATACTGGAGTTCTTGTTTTGATCGGCGACACCGCTCTTTGGATTCTTTACGAGTGATTTCGGCCGAAACAATAGTTGTTCAGTTGGCCATGCTCCCTTATTAACTGACAATGAGGGTCGTTCTCTCCGAAACTGGGCTTCAAGAGCTAGGCTATTCTGTTCCTCTGTAATGTCTACTGGTCACGGCAATCGAGCCTATTAAAGAGTCCGATATTGCAGACCAAGATATGGGAGGACATTTTACACGTGGAGAATAACTTGGAGTTTCTGATACTCCATTCGATGACGCTGAATATAAAGTGAGCACTTAGGATGTTAGTGTGCACGGCTCGTGCAATAAGCGTAATTATATTGATAGCAAGACACTCAAATATTTGTTGGACGAGAAATGGCTAGTAAAGAAGTCGGGATCAAGGTCGTGTCGTCTCAAAATGTGTCAGAAGTTTAGGATAAGGAGCACTGGTATTCTAGGGTTAAGAGCGTTGTAAGAAATCCGGAAGCCAGGGGCACACGAAGTGGCCTCGTATCAGGCTTGAAAAACTGTCCCGGTTCAACTGCCAACGGCATATCCTCGCGAGGAATGAGACTGATGTACTGTGATGATCAGCCTAGTTAATACCAGTTGTTTGTCAGTCAGTTTACAAACAAAAAAGAAGCTAAACTTGGTGGCAGAAGCAAGATTTTGACCTACTCCTTACGCTTTTACAAAGGAAAGGAAAGGTCAGTCGTAGGGGCATGTGTCGTATCACCCACTGGTGTCCGATATGATCGAGTGAGAGAAACTCACTCAACCTAGGTGCTCGATCACTTATCAGCGACTTGATTAAAAATAGACGGTCACTGAGGAGTATGGTTTAGGATACAAATTAGTTCTCCTTAGAGTTCAAAAGCTTACAAACAACTTCCTCGCTGACAGGCTGTGTTGCGGACCCACATTCGCCGGTCAACTTGGAGGCTACTGTCGGCAAGTTACGCGCAGACTTGCAAAACAAATGGGCTGACATGGCGTTCCAGATTTCGGTCACTGAAAGGGAACTCGAGTTTGAAAAGTAGTTTGTTTTACTGAAGAAAGAGCTAGAGTGGATCGATGAAGATACGGCTCGTTGGTACGGTGTAATCTGGCGGTGATCAGGCGAGGGGTTCT